ATATTTAACAAAGAAGTTTAAAACAATATAGTCTAGAAAAAGGATAGCATCTTCAACAAATGATTCTGGGAAAAGTGGATAATCATATCCAGAAAAATGAAATTAGATCTATGTGTATCACCCTGAACAAAAATTACCTCCAAGTTACTCAAAGACCTCCAGTTGAAACCTGACATACTGGAACTGCCAGAAGAAAACACTGTTAGTACACTGCAAGTCATAGCTGTAGGAAAAGGATGTTCCTAATGCCAGGAATTAAAATAAAATATCGATGAGCAAGACCTCATAAAACTGAAAAGTTTCTGTACATCTAAGGAAATAATCTGGTGAGTGAAGCAGTCCAGAGACAGGGCACAATCTTTACCAGCTATTCATCTGAAAGAGAGTTAATATCCAGAATATACAAAGAAGTAAAAACATAAGGGGTCTAGGAAAGAAATGACCTAATTTAAGAAATGGTCTAGAGTTCCAAACAGTGTTCTCAATACAAGAAATAAAAATGGGTAAGAAATAACCCCCTAAAATGTATCAAGCTTAGGAGTTAGAGAGATACAAATTAAAGCAACTTTGAGCCTTCATATCACCCCACTCAGTCAGAATGGCTAATAAGATCAAGCAATCAGTTGCCAACAGCTTCTGGTGAGTCTGTCAGGAAAGGGGAACCCTCATAACTATTGGCAGGAATTCAAATTGATACAGGCATTCTGGATATCAATATAGAGAATCCTCAAAAAAAAAAAAAAAAGAACCTAAACAAAAAGTAAATCTACCGTTTGATCTGGCTATACCACTTCTTGGCATATGTCCAAAGGACTTGTTATCATTTTCCATAGATATTCAACTGTACTCGCTGTGGCCCTATTCATGATAGCTAGGAAATGAAAACAATCTAATTGTTCTTCAATGAATAATGAAAATGAGGTATATATACACTGTGGAATACTAATCAGGTGTAAAGACAAATGAAGTCATGAAATTTGAAGATAAATGGAAAGATAACATGGAGTGAGATAACCCAGATCTGGAAAGAAAGATATCACAAGCTGTCTCTCATTTGACATGTCCAGCTCCAAGTCTTCAGAAGTAAGTATGCAACATGAAGTAACTACCAAAACGAGGAAAGAAAATTGGGACCACCTTAGGGCAGGAGTGGGTGAGAGGGGAATAGCAATAAAATGAAGGTCAAAACAGAAAAATGTGGGGAGTGGGGGCTCCAACTGGGAAGGGGAAAGGGAGCTTGGTACAGAAGCAGCAGGAATGAAAGGTGACAAAATACACCAAGTTATTTGGTAAATCCTGAAGAAACATTATTATTTTATAGTTACCTAAAATTATAGAACACATACACACACAATCACACACACACAATCACACACACACATACACATACACACACAATCATACAATCACACACACACACACACACAGGCTGACAATGCCTCCACAAGAACTACTGACTAACGAAAGTCTCAGGGTTGGGTATGAGAAATCTCCCCAATGTTCAGGGTAGTACAGTGGATTCCCAAAACACTACAGAATATAGCTCTTGCCATTGTAGCCTTTCAGAAGTTGAAGGTAAACCCGTATGGCTGAAGACACTGCACACTTAGGACACAGGACCCAGATTATTTTTATTCAAGCCTGAATTGGCCTCAAATCCTTTCTGTGGTTTAGCTTCTAAAGTACCAGGAAATACTTTGAAAACTTGCAAGAGAAGTCTTTCTAATGCTGAGATTAAAAAAACCCTCAACTTGGAGATGAAAGGGTTTATTTTGCTTACACTTCCAGGTAAGGGTCTATCACTGCAGAAAGAAAGGGCAGGAACTCAAGCAGGCTAAAACCTTGGAGGTAGGAACTGAAGCAGAGGCTAGGAATAGAAGTGTTTACTGGCTTGCTCCTCACAGTTTGCACCTAGAGACATGAGCCTGGGGGTGGCACTTCCCAAAGTGAACTAGGCCTTCCAGCATTAATCATTAATCAAGAAAATGATCAATAGATTTTTCACCATGCAAATGAGATGGGGCATTTTCTTTTTTTTTTTTAACATTTTTTAAAAATTTTAAATAGCTTGTTTTACATGTCAATCCCAGTTCCCTCTCCCTTCCCTCCTCCCTCACCCCCCATCCCCCCATCCTCCCACCCTATTGCCAATTCCTTCTGCATAGGGGATATCTAGAGTCTATCATTTCATTCAGGGTAGGGTCCAGGCACTTTCCTAAGAGTCCAGGCAGAGAGAGCAACCCTCTTTGTGTTATGGACACACGATGTCTGTTAGTATTACAGGGATAAACACTGATCCACTGCTCAGGACCCCATAGGTAGCCCAGGCCTCCTCACTGACTCTCACATTCAGGGAGTCTGGATCAGTCCCATGCTGGCCTCCCAGCTGTTGGTCTGGGGTCCAGGAGCTCTCCCCTGTTCGGATCAGCTCTCTCTGCTGGTTTTGCCAGCCCATTCTTTGCCAATTTGCTCTTCGCTCCTCTCTCTGTCGCTGGGTTCCTTGGGTTCTGTTCAGTATTTAACTGTGGGTGTTTGCCTCTGCTTCCATCAGTCTCTGGATGAAGGCTCCAGGATGGTTATAGACATCAAGTTCACTATCAGGAATAGGCATTCGAGGTGGTCTCTACACTATTGCTTGGCTTGCCAATTGGTGTCATCCGTTTAGATCACTAGAGGTCACAATGGTGCCTGATCTGTCTTCTAACCTATGATTCTCTCTTCCCCCTATGCTACCCTCCCCCAGTCAACCTTCCTGTTCCTCCGCGTCCTACTCTCTCTTCCACTTCTCCCCCTCTCTACTTCCCAGGTCCCCCTCCCCCCACCCCTCGCCATGTTCCCCGAAATGGGGGCATTTTCTTAATTGAAGTTCTCTCTTCCTAAACTACTCTAGCTTGTATGAAGTTTGGCATAAAACTAAGCAATATAGGAGGGAAACAATTAGTAGTCCCCCATGAAGGCCCCACAACAGTGACCAGCAGGCATAGGTGTCTATAAAGGTACAACAACAACTGTTTGTTGAAGGTAAAATCCACTCATGCATGTAACTAGAAACCTAAGAAACTTCCCAGAGTTGGTGAGGTCCTGGATCTTAAGAAAGAATCTACTACTACTGCTTTAATAGACCAATATAACTCCTAATTGCATTCTAAAACTTTTCCTTATACCCACAGACAAATTTATTGACTACCCTGCATTAAAGAAGCCTCTCTTACAGCAAATGGATACCATACATCAAATCACAGTTGGACACAATGCAAAGATGAAGGATCACAGGAAGTCCAGCCCCAGAGGATGCATCTACCTAAAGGGTCCTGAATCTAATGCTCATGGAACATTGTGTGGGAAGTGTCAGAAAGACTATAAGATGCTGAATACCAGGATGTCTGCCGTGAAGCAGTTTCTCATAGAAATGGCATAAACAAGACCTGAATCATAGCAATGCCAATAAGTCTACTAACTGAGGAGGAAATATTTACAGAGCCCCACCCTATATAAAGAACTTTGGGCAATTAATGAATGCTGAAGAGAGGAAGAATTAGCCTTTCCCAGGAATGATTCCCCTTCTTGTGTAACCAATACAAAGTGGTCAGCTCTGAAACCATATACAGACAAACAATAATTATGTTCGTATAATTATGTATATGTAACAATAATAATAATAAAAGAACAGAGGCTATCAATTTGAGAGTGTAGTTGGGGAGCATGGAAGAGGTTGGAGAGTGGAGACTTTGAAGGGGCTAAGGAGAGGAAAGAGAAGGGGATGAGTGATGTGATTACATTTTAATTAAAATGTCTTTTTAAAAATCAGGTACAACTTAGAGGTGGATTTCTGCCTTTAGGGGGTGCTCATCCATTCACCTCCCACAGTCATGGGTCTTAGAACCTAAGAGGTAGTAGAACAGAAGAGGGAATCCTATAAATAATGAATTCAGTTTTAAACTCTGATGTCAGCAGTGCTTAGTTCTGATACAAGGTTTGCAGAATGTGCATGCCACATGAGGTCATGGGAGAAGCTCACACCTACTTACTGGAACAACCTCAGCTAAAGGAAACACGTGTGTGTGTGTGTGTGTGTGTGTGTGTGTGTGTGTGTGTGTGTGTGAGAGAGAGAGCACCGAAACACACACACACACACACACACACACACACACACACACCACCACCACCACCACCACCATCACCAACAATAGCAGCAGCAGCAGCAGCAGCAGCTTACAAAATATTTGCAAGCACAAAGAGACTTATCTCCCAAGGAAGGGAGCAACCACTAAAAATAGTAAGCAAAGTCCTTTCTCTTCCAGCTGGACCACAGTGAGTAGTCACCAAAATTCCAAGCTCTTTTACCCAAGATCCAGCTTCCTGCAGGACTCGTTCGCTAGTCACATGAATCTTTTTCTTTTCTCTGTGGCACAGACTTCACCTTCTTTTGAGGTAGCTCCAATTCAATTATAACATGCACCCCATCTTTCGAGGCTGGAGCCCAAGATTTCGAGGAAACTTGGGGAAGTCCATTGCCCCACTAGAGAAGTACAAACTACTGGCAGAGGGACAGCAGGGCATATGAAACAGGTTCCCAAACGGCCTGGGCGCGGGAAACAGTCCTTTCCCACGTGGTAGGTGAGAAAGACTCCGTGTGGGGTAGAATGCGAATTTCCCCTTGGCTCTCAAGGCTTCTATGTCCCGGTGGGATGGGCTCCAAAGGGACCAACGCAGCGTTAAGCAAGAAACATCTGGCTACCGCCTCAGCCCAGGAGCAACGCGAAGTGAGCACAGGTTGCGTGCCAGGGTGGGGGGCTGAGGCAAGGATAACGCCAAGAAGATGACTACAATGGGCCAAAGTCCCTACCTCGAGGACTGAAGAAAATCCCGCACTCTAGCCGGGCTTCTCTGCGGAGGTGGGTTTCCCACCAGCGCCTGCCTCCCCTCAGTATCCCCCTTACTCAGTCCTGTACCCTGCGAATACCGCACGCCCTGCATCCTCCCCCGGGGTGCCACCGCACCTGGATATGGCAGGAGACCTCCGAGTCGTCCAGCAGCCGAATGGTGCATTTCATCTCCTGGTTGAGCGATTTGATGCTGGAGCTCCGAAAGTGAATCATTTTCAGAGTCCTCCTGCCTCTCGGCGCACAGTGACAAGACGCGAACATGCACAGCAGCACGCGAAGGCGAGCCGTAGGAGGCGCGGGGCCCGCGCGGCCCTCGTCCACGCGGACATTCACACGCTCTCGACCCAGACCCGGCTCCGGGTACAGCTCTGCCCGGAGACGGCGGCAGCCCAGGGGGCCTGCAGCCACCAGCTGGAGGAGCGTCGGTCCCTCCCTCTCCTCCTCTGCCGATCCAATCCCCGCCTCCTTCGGTAGCTAGCTCAGAGGCACCTCCCTTGGCTTGAGGCTGAGGGCGACTGGAACCAACGACCCCACGAGGGATCGCAGCTGGAGGAGGCGGAGGACCAGCTGGAGCCTGACGCCCAGAATCTCCGGAGGGGCCTCTTCCACTGCTGCTGCTGCTGCTGCTGCGTCAGCCTAGGCCCTCCTGCCTTCCTCTAGCTGGCCACCTCCTCCCTCCTCCCATCGAGGTTGCTATAGATGGTCCTGCCCTGCTGCTTCTCTGGGACTCAACAGTGCCCTGCACTGTGAAATCCCACGTCCCGGCGGGCAGAGTGAAGAGCAATCCACACACCTCCATTAAGCTGATGGAGAGGACCGTTGGGCTGGCAGGGAGTCTCAGACAATGGCAGGAGGCACAGATAATTGCACATGTCCAGGGACGTAGTAGCTCTCAGATACTCCTGGAGGATTTTAAAGTCGCTGGCTTGGTTAATTAGCTGAGATCAGCCCCCTTCTTCCTTAGGATGGAATCGGCTTTCTTAAGCAGCGTGATCTTTGATTACAGAATCTTTTAGATACCAACTAGGAGTCCTATTCTGCCCCCCCCATCCCCGAGAAACTCCTCCACCCCAACTGCATAGGAATCTAGTGACAACGAAGCATCCTATTTTAGTCTCTCTCTGGGTGCTGGAAACCCTGGAATTCCCTGCTACTCTCCAGGAATGCACTGCTATCCCAAGGAGCCTCTGCCCTAGTGTAAAAGGCTTTAGGTTCAAGGGGTGGCAGAGTTGCAGGTATTTCGGTGGGTGGAGCTTCGAGGTGGAGGGTGGGATGTCAGGAAATAGGACTTAAATGAAAGCTGCTTTGTTCCGCTATTTCTTTTTCAGTGAGGAGAAAACTTGTTGCTAGCTGTCAGCTTTTGCACGGTTTGCCACACAAGCAGAGTCTCTTCATCCAAAAGGCTGAGCTGTGGGATGGAGGAAAGAAGACTCAGACAGGATCGGTTGTGGCCTGCATTACATTCGGAGTTCTCCAGCTATCCACACCCTACTTCCTCTGGTCTTCCAGCAATAATAATCACCTTACAGTAAAGTTCCTGCCTCCCAGTCCTTTAAATTGCAACAGCTACCAATTTAAGAGCACGTAGTACCCCGTGTCTGAAACCTTGTCACTGGAGATGATGATGCAGGAGGGTGGGGAATTTGAGGTTGGCCTGGATTGTATAGTGGGAATGTCTCAAATAAAAAATAAATAAATAAAACAAAGAGGAGAGTGTGCATTTAATATAGCATTATGTCTTAGTCACTGTTCTATTGCTGTGAAGAAACACTATGAGCAAGACAATTCCAGAAATGGAAGCATTTAATTGGGGGTTTGCTTGTAGTTTCACATGGTGAGAACAAGGAGGGAGCAGGGCCATCGCGCATGGCACTGGAGCAGTAGCTGAGAACTACACTCTCATCCATAAGCAGAGAGGGAACACATGCAACATAACAATTATGTTTTAGTCACTATTCTGTTTCTGTGGAGAGACACCATGGCCAAGGCAACTCTTACAAAAGGAAGCGTTTCATTAGGGGTGTGCTTACAGTTTCAGAGGATTAGTCCATTGTCGTCATGGCAGGAGCAGGGAAAGGAACATTGCAGCATGCACGACTCTTCAGCAGTAACTGAGAGCTATATCCCGATCCATAAGTCATAGGAAGAGAAAGAGATGCTATGTCTGGCCCTGGATTTGAAATCTCAAAGCCTACCCCAAACTACACACTTCCTTGAACAAGACCATACCTCCTAATCCTTCTAATTCTTCTCAAATATGCCACTCCTTGGTGACTGAACATTCAAATGTATGAGCCTATAGAGGCAATTCTCACTCAAACACACTGCACATTTTGATGGCTGAATTACTGTTTTGAGATAGTTAAATAATTGGATGTGAGCTTCCATATGAGTGGAACTGATGGGTCAGATTTGAGGGTCATGGGATGATGTGAATTGCAGCTCTCAGTGAAATGAGGCATGAATACAAGACACATTTCTACTTCTAGTCAGGTGAAGATGGTGTGTAAATCGCTTTTTCTATCTCTGTGATAAAACACCATGAGCAAGGCAACTTACAAAAAGAAAGTGTTTAATTCAAAGGGTTAAAGTCCAGGATGACAGAGGGAAGGCGTGGCAGCGGGAACAGCTCAGAGCTCCTATCTCCGAACCACAAATGGGAAGCAGAGAACACGCTAGCAATGTCACCAGAGTTTGAAACTTCAAAGTTTGCCCCTATCTTCTTCAGCAAGGTCACACATCCTAATTCTGCCTACGTGGTCTAGTCTTGTGTCAACTTGACACAAGCTAGACCTGTCTAAAAGGAGGGAAAGTCAATTAAGAAAACACCCCCATAAGCTCCAGCTGTAAGAGATTTCTTAATTAGTGATCAATGGAGTAGGGCCCATTGGCTGTGGGTGGTATCTCCCATGAGCTGGTGGTCCTGGGTAATTTAAGAAAGCACGCTGAGCAAGCCATGGTGAACAAGTCAGTAAGCAGCATCACTCCATGGCCTGTGCATCAGCTCCTGCCTCCAGGTTCCTGCCCTCACTGCCTTTGATAAATTGTTACATGAAACTGTAGGTGAAAAAACCCTTTTGATCATGCATGCTGTTTCATCACAGCAATAGAAACCCTAATGAAGACACTTCCCAAACAGATCCACAAACAGGAACCAAGTTTTCAAATATGAGCAAAGTGGGGGGGGCATTCTCATTTAAACTACCACATTTCAAAACCCTCTGTCCCCCACAGGCTAATGGCCATATCGTAACGCAGAATGCATTTAGTCAAACTTTAAATGTTGCCATAGCCTTTCACAGCCTCAACATAATTTAAAAGTCCAAAGTTGCTTCTGAGACTCAAAGTAATCTCTTTATTGCAATCCCCTGTAAAATCAAAGAGAAAATCACATACTTTCAACATACAAGTGCACAGAATATACTTACCATTCCAAAGGGAGGAAAGGGGCCATAGTGAGGAAATACTGGATCAAAGCAGAACTGAAAAGCAGCAGTGCCAACACCAAATCAAATAGCCCAAGGTTGATGTCACTGGGCTTAAATGGCATTGCCTTCCTGGGCTTGCTTACTACAATACACTTCTCTCCCTTGGACTGGTCCCATCCCTGTGTGCAACTCTCCTTGGCAGATATCCCACAACTTTGGCATGTACAAAGTAGGGGTCTCCAAAGCAATGCAAGCTCTACTTTCACAGCTACGCATAATGCCCTTTCTGGACCTCCGTGCAGGGATGCCACAGCCACATGCCTGGCCTCCCTGGTTCTCCATAAATACGAAAGAAGATTCCATACAGTGTTGCCCTGGAGAAGGGGAAAGAGACAAAAACCTCTTGAGCAAATTGGGAGCACAAGAAGGGGGAGTAGGAGGAAGGGGAGGAGCGGAGGAGAACATGATGAGTCAGGGAGATTGAGGTGAGGGAAAAATAGAGAAGGAGCAAGAAAAGAGATACCTAAACAGAGGGAGCCATTCTCTCAATGCCCTTCCTCTATAATGAGATTGATGATTACCTTAAATGCCAACCTAGAGCCTTCATCCAGTAGCTGATGGAAGCAGAAGCAGACACCCACAACTAAACACTGAGCTGAACTCCTAGAATCCAGTTATAGAGAGGGAGGAGTGATGAGCAAAGGGGTCAAGACCATGCTGGGGAAACCCACAGAAACAGCTGATCTGAGCAAGTGGGAGCACACAGACACGAGTCTGACAGCTGAGGAACCAGCACAGGTCCGAACCAGGCCCCCTGAACTTGGGTGTCATTTGGGAGACCAGGACAGTCTATGGGACCTCTGGCAGTGAAACCAGTATTTATCCCTCGTGAACCAATGGACTTTGGGAGCCCATTCCCTATGGAGGGATACTCTCTCAACCTAGAAACATGGGGGAGCACCTAGGCCCTCAAATGATGGGACAGCCTTTGATGATCCCTCATCTGAGGCCTTACCCTCCCTGGGGAATGGATGGGGAGTGGTGGGATGGAGGGTTAATGGGGGGCATGGGAGGACCAGGAGGGAGAGGGAACTGGGATTGGTATGTAAAATAAGATAGCTTTTTATTTAAATAAAATAAAAAAAAACATACAGTGTTGTTTCTTCAAAGGAAGGGATGCATAACCTATTTTCACTCTTAAGGTTTGGAGCAGATGTGGTTAATAGCCTGATGACTTTTGTGCAAGCTTTATGGCTGAAACCACACTGCTTTCTTCCCCAGACATTTATCATGAGCTTTTATTTCTCATTCTGTTATACCCTAGTTAGTTGCAGAAAGCCCATTTTGTTTGAGCCTGTCACTCTACCCTGAGTTGCTACCCATAATTTTCTGAGGCTAGGCTGCACCTAATCCTTAACACAGGTTTAAAACACAAGCATTCTACCCCCTCTGACTAGTTGTCCCAGAACTGGTCTGAACCACTAAACCACAGAAATCCCTGATAGGCTGTAAGTGTGACATCTTGGAAAGTACCCAAATGCTTCTCCCCACATTACATTGTTTGGATGGGACTCAGGGGCTGTCTGTTTATGGTTTTTCCCTTTAAAAGTGGCTGCTATCCCTGTCTTGGGGATAAAGTTTGGAGCCCAAACCCTGACATCTCTCTGATACGAGTTTTTCTAAATACATTTTTGGCTTGTTCAAACCAATTGTTTTTGGTGGATTGTTCTCAGATTCTTGGACCCTAGCAAATCTACGTATACCTGTCATTAGGGAAGCTGTCACAAGTAATTTACAAAGAGTTTCAATTCGCCTATGATCTTTATTTAGTTTACTTTGTTACTCAAGAAGATTTATATGTTTTATTGTACACAGCACAGTGAGTTAATTATCACCAGGGAAGTTTTCACTGTGTTGTGCTGTGCTTAAATGTGCCTAAAATAAGCTACTTGGGGTGAGATTCCTGGAGTTTGAACCATCTATGGCTATTTAGTTGTGTTGAACCTAATTGCTTTCCTGCTTCCTGGAGATGGTTACCACATGGATCATGACTGTGCTGGCCATGATGTTCCCAGAGACCCCCCCCCCCACATTGCAGTTACCAACAGCTGTCTATGTGAATTTAAGGCCTACCCAACGGGAGGGAAATTATCCTTTTTTTCTGTAAACTTAGCCGGCTACCTGTAACTGGAGAGGTCATGAATCCTTGAGGAGAACCTACTACTGCCACTTTCCTAAACCCCTGTATTTTCTAACTGAATTCTAGCTACTTATAGCCACTGGGAAGTGTAGATAAAAGAATGTTCTTTTACATGCAGATGAAGACCTTTAGAGAAGTTCACAGTTGTTTTAAAATAACCTTGGGTTCACCAACCTCAGTTGATTCATTTGCAGTACGGTGATGTAGCTGTTTTCTTCTGGACAGAAACACTCCATTCTCCAAAGAAGCTCCTTAAGACAGAAAATGAACAACCCAAAATAGCCTCAGGAAGACTACATTCTCGAGGCCACCCCCTTCCCACAGGGAACAATAAAGACTGCTGAGGGGCACTCAGGCAAGAGGCTCTGCAAAGGAGATTGAGATCAGCCTAGCTACCTGGTAGAAGCAGAGGCCAATTAATTAACCCCAAAAGAAACAGAGCCCAGAGGAGCTTCCCAGAAGAGGTTTAGTCCAACTGAAACAATACCCTTTAACCTTTTGAAATGCCTGCAGGCTATGCAGCATGCTCCAGATTTTCAGGTTTTCTGAACTGTCATCCATGTGAGGTGGGCTTTTGGTGATGAAGCTTCCTTTGAGTAATTTCTTCTACTATAAGTAATGTCTCACCTATATTCCTGTAAGTAACCCCAATTCACTGCTTCGCCAAATTGGAATTCTGTGGAATCCGTACTTTGATGGTCTGTCATGTGCTCCCAATCGTGTGTGTGTGTGTGTGTGTGTGTGTGTGTGTGTGTGTGTGTGTGTTGCACCTCCCTAGGAAAAATCTTGTCACACATGAACACAAAACCTATACCGAACTTGTAGGGAACAACAAAGAACAGAGAGAGGAAATACTATAAAAGCCAGAGGACTAGGACATCTGCTACAGGATAGTGCATTCTATAAATGACAAGAAGATGCACCTATGAAATCTCAAAACATCACAACAGGACCAGCACAATGAAAATACCAGGTGATGTGAGAGTGTATATGGTGGAAATCTCACAAGGATGAAGAGATATAGGCAATTTGTAGCTGCTGAGAGGGGAGAATATGTCATCTCTAGGGATTAGCCCCC